TAAATTAAGAGGTGAAAATCGTACTTAATTCATTCCCTAATCCAACTTTAAGAGTTAATTATTCCCTAATTATTTGAGCATTAATTAACAATTAATAAAATAATATGAATTTATTTATTTAATGAGAATCTAATACTAATCTAAAGCTTTAAAAAAGAGGTCACGTGTTTCGTGTGATACATCAAATATTTATTTATTTTTGTAGAAATAAAAATTGACGATTTGGGTATTTTTTAATATAAGAATAAATATATATTTACGTTATATTTAATGCATATATAATCTCTTAGAAGTTTCATTAAATCTCTAATGCATATATATATATATAGATTTAGAAACAGAAGCGTGATTGAATTTATAATAAAATCATTTATACGTTGTATAATAGATCTTCCAAATCGATATGTGACCTTCCAAACTCTCATTTTCTACTAATGAAATAATAAAAATAAATAAATTTTACATGCGATTTAGAGACCATAACCGAGTTTTTATATCGTCAAGTTTCGTTATTTCTTATTTATTTAATTATAAAATCAGAAATAACGTTTTTAGTCTCAGTATATAAAAGAAATTAATACTTTACCAAATGTATTAAGACTCAATATCCGTAACCGATCACTTTTAAACGAACTCAATAAAATCGATATTCTTTTATGCACAATAAAATTCACGTTAAACTCACACGATCAATTACTAATTATCTTAGTCATGTTTCCCAGCACTCTTACAAAGTACTTGTTCGGATTCACATCTGGCAAAGAGTGGTTTCCATTTATATTCCAAATTCTTACAAATGTTCCCATAATTTATTATTCTTTCACTTATACCCATATAATGAAATACACTTAAAATGTTATATGTACATATATATATGTATATATATATATGTATGTAAAGGAGAAGATTGAAGGATAACAAGAGTGAAGAAGAAGCAAAGTTTTCTATTTTTTGGGATGGCAAAGCGTGCAGCAGCAGCACAGCGATGCTCTCCATGTTGTGGGAGGGAAGAACGTTCAATAATAGGAACAAAGCCAGATAAAGATAATTCCATAAACAAGTCAGATGAATCATCAGGTTTTGTTGTAATTGATTTGTTTTTTTCTACTTGATACACACACACACACACATATATATATATAGATATATATATATATATATATATATTGATGCATGAAAGAAACCTTTTTTTGTTTTTTTGTTTTTCTTTATGTAATAATATGTTGGTATGCATGTTTATATAAAGTATATACAATTAAGTCCTGTAGTGTTTTGAACTGAAACTGGGTTAAATGGCTCTCCAATATATATATATATATATATATATATATATATATATATATATTACAGAGACAAGATCAAAGTGTTTTCAGCTTCCAAGGTGTTGTACAAGAACACAGAAAAAAGGAGATATGTTTTATAAAAGAAGAGAAGCCTCCAACACTACGTAAGTTTTAAGCTTATTTCTTTCTAAAATAAATCTAGATAGTCCGAACTTACACTATTATTTACGAATTCTATATTTTCGTGTAGTAAAGTATATGTTTGAGTCTCGAAATACATATTTCAAATATTTTCTTCGATAAATTATGTTATCCGTAGGTAGTAACTTTAGTAATAATCATTCTTCGTTCAGATTATCGATACTTTTTACTTTTCTTTAGAATAATGTAAATTCTTCGTTTAAAGGTTATTGTATCTATATAATGTAGATTTTGATATAATACGAAGATGATACAAATTCAAATGAATTTTTTTTTTTTAATTTTAAGTTTATTCATTTTATAACTAGTGCATATATAAATTCTCTGACTGTTGGATCGAAAATATAATTAAAATTGATTTTAATTTCCCATAAATATATAGATATGAATAAATTTTTATGTATTAAATAATTAAAATTTTAAAATCAATTGGAAATTAACATAAATCTAATATGTTTTGAAAAACTTTTTGCAGGATTCGCACGTTTCTTTGTTGTCTGGTTTGGGAAGCTTGTTTTGATCCAGGCACCAGCACCACCTCCCATCAATAGACTTGTTTTTACTCTATAGTTTGGAGCCTCAAAATCTGAATGTTTAATTCTATTTAAGCTTTCAATTTGATTGTACTAAATAATGATTGATTAAACGAAGAGTTATCTCTGATATATATATATATATATATATATAATATTTAGTGCCAATTTTTTGAAATCACCAATGTTATGTATGACTTGCACATCCTAAACTTTTCATAGACACAAAGATTTTATTTTTTGGATTAAATTTATAACATCGACATAGTTTTGATCATATGTTTCTACCGATAACATCCAATAAACCTTCTTATGGTAATTTATATGGCGCAAAAAAGGACGTGAAATAATTTTGCATATTATCACAAGTCGATTGAGAAACGAGGAACATACTCACTTAGTGATCTTTGACGAAGACCTCATTTTGGGATAAAAGATGCCCGTGGTTCTCAATTAACAAAAATGACATACTCCATGATGAGAGAGACAAAAGATTGATGGAAACCCGCCTTACTCAACACTGCTTCAAGAAAGAGTCATGTAATACGATCATATACTTTACTAATATCTAATTTAAAAGTATAATAGTCCCGATTTGAATTTGTATGATTCTTGAGGAAATGGAAAAGCTCCAAAGTTAGTAATGCATTATATGTCATCGGTATAAGAGAAATGAAAGTGGACTGTGAAACATGCATAACCTCATGTAAACATGGTTTTACTCTATTTCCTTCACGTTTTGTCACAAATTCACATCACCATATTATATAAGTTGAAGGATCTATAGCTAGAAGTATGTACAAGATTTTTCATTTTTAGAATTAAAGTAATAAATATTTCTACATCTTAAGAGTGTCTTATCATTTAAGGTACTCAGTACGAATGTAATAAAATTAGTCTTTACAAGAGACTAGAAGTTTTAGAAGAATAAGAGAGGCATACCGTTAGGTCTCAGTGCATTAGGTTTCACTCTATTTATTTTACGTTTTGTCACAAATTCACATCACCATATTACATAAGCTGAAGGATCTATACCTAGAAGTGCGTACAAGGTTTTTTATTTTTAGAACTAAGATAATAAATATTTCTATATGCTAAGAGTTTCTTATCATTTAAGGTACCCAATATGAATGCAATAACATTAGTCTTTACAAGAGACTAGAAGTTTTAGAAGAATAAGAAAGACATACCATCAGGTCTCAGTGCCTTGGTTGGACGCATTTGTCAAAGAACAGTAACCACTTCTTCTCTGTGTAAGGTTCCAACAACTTGTTATTCTTAGTTCCAGAGACCTTTGCCTCCATAGATTGCAAAGTCTATGTCAATATCACTAACCTCTCTACTGTTAAATTTTTTTGAAAATGTTATAAGAAACATCTTCAAGTTAAAAGAGTCACGAGATTTGATAAATATCAGAAGTTAAATATGATATTTGTTGGACAATTAAGATTTTTGAAACCTGTTGGAACTTGACATATTGCATTATCCTTTTTGTTTGTTCAGAGTTCATATATAACGTTATTTTATGTTTTAATATTTTTGTAAATATCTTCCATTTTTGTATATAATGTAGAGAATACTCGATAGAGATTTAGAATTGACAAGGACATACTAAGAAAAAACGTTGTCCCTTTTATGGAAGTTTCTCTAAAGAGTACATTTATCTCACATTTTTGTATTTTTCTCTAATAATTAAGTTTTATGAGGTAGCCATCAATTTAGGATCAAACTAAATTGGATAAACACTATAAGTAAATCCTACATACATTGAATTGAATTAAAAAATAACTAAAGAAATCAACAAAAGTTAGTAATAAATAATAAATATACAAACAACAATTAATAATTAATGAAATAAATAAAATAAATGCTATGTTAAATTTTTGAGATACTTTCTGTAAAATTTTGATATGATCAATTCGGATTAGGGACTAAATTTAAAATTTTAAATCTTTCAACTTTAAACCGAAGTTAGACTTTTTGTTTCTATTCATTTTACTCGGTTCAATATGGTTTAGTTTTTCAGTTCGAATTGATTTTAAGGTTAAAATTTATATTAAGCGAAAGAATATAATACGAATAACATTTAAAGACGAAAGAAAAAAAAAACAAAGGGTAATATAATACCGAACATTAAGTTCTCTAGAAGCTTGATATCGTATGTAAAAAAGATAATATTATTTAAATATTAATTTTGTAGTTGCTTTGGATGGTTAAAATAGTTATATAAAGTTGTTCATTTAGTTAATAAAGAAGATATAAATATATATATATATATGTATTAAATAGATATTATTTTACAAGTTCAATTTCCATTTAAGTTTTGAATACATAAAAGACAGTTGAGTTTTGAACAGATAAAGACTGCTAGAGACAATGTCAAATATATTCTAAAATAAAGTGATTCCCCGTATTGCTTGACAACATCAAATCTCATATATGGCTGGAAATAGGCATCCGGCTGCAGTGGATGCCACTGGAACTTTCAATGTTCTGATTCCAGAATCCAAAAAAGAATATAAAAAAAAAAAAGACTTACACACACACATACATTCCTAAAATGTATATAAAATCACAAAGTGCCCAGTAATCTTCAACATAGAAACATCCTCAGCCATAGTCTGCCAAAAGAACATAACTCACTTGGAGGAAGAAAGTGGTTCTTATATATTTTGCAATGGCAGATGGTAACTCTCTGTTTCTCTCTCTCTTTTATGTGTTTTGTCTCGTTTGAGACTAATACCCTCTAGTTCATACAACAGAGAAACCAGCAGGATGCGAGCAAGAAAGCCTTCCGCAAATAGAAACCAAAGGCACCGCAGAGAAGAAAAAGGGAAAACCAGCAGGACGCAAGCAAGGAAAACTTCTGGGTACAGAGACCAAAGGAAATGAAGAGAAGGGTTTTGTTGAAGCATGGTAATTCTGTTTCATTTGCTAGTAGATCACAATCATCGTCGACATCATACCCTACTAATTACACTTGTCATCTCTGTATTAAATTTTCATGTTTTCACTTTGCAGCCTGTTTGTTATGTGCTGCTGTTGGCTTTTCCATTCTCCCAAGAAAGAACACAAAAAGGAATAAGAAGGAAGCAAGATGGTGCCTCCTACTAATTTGATAGTACCAATCAAGTGTGCCTCCTACTTGAATG